ATTTTTAAACACCAGTTTTCGGTCAAATGAAAAAGAAGTATGGGCATAAGTGTATGCTAGACATAGAAAAGCTGATCAAATATCATGATTTTCCCGAAGAAGGGACATTGAGTAAAGTAAGACTGAATGTTGCGAGAGTCAGTTGAAAAGAAAAAAAAAAAAAAAAAGAGATTGGGACAAAATAAAGTTGTTAAAATTCCCTGTGAGTTCATCCCAGTAGAATATGTTTATGTAGACAAAGATAACTATAGTAATGCCTGGTGTACATTGGACAATCAGAAATTTAGGATGACTGTCTATCAAAGTATGCTTGCTGATACGACCTACATCTACTGACTAGCCAATAAAAATGCAACATGAAAGGACATACTGATTAACGCGACATGCTATGGAGGTGAAAAGAGCTAAAAGGAATACCAGTATGTGGGATTTCAGAAGGAATTTATTGTCCTCCCCTGCCACCTCCTCTTCTTTTTTTTCAGTACACATAAAAACCACAATTGCCAAAGCGTTATTTATCTTGCTCTATTTGTTTACCACTATACTATTTGTTTTCTTCTATACTAACTTGCATCATAGCTTACGATTCGATATGTGTCATCATCGCACAGTCTATATACATATTGTACCCAAGTATAATAGATCTATGTCACACAGTGTGGTTTGTAATAATCTAATAAGACTGCTGAAGTCGCACAGTCTGTAGAGGGCATAAAATATTTTTAATTTGCAAAAAAGGTGTCTCTGACTTCTAAAAGACTCAATCAGTTGCTTTGGTGTATGTGTGAGTGTGTGTGTGTTTGTGTCCAGCTGGCGTGCGTCTTGCACTGTTGGAAGGGAGTCAGAACCCAGAACCCTCCTTTGTTGGGAAACGGAACAGAACATTCATTTTATTGCTTAATTAGGCCACTGGTCCCTGAGGAGCCTCAGAGAGACCAGGGCTAAAGGATCACGAGAATTAAGACTTGATAAAGTCATCTCAAGACTCTCCAAATTAAATTTCTGAATTAAATATGTAAAATGCAGTTTAATACTTTTTATGTTGACATACAATATTTGTGGAAACACTAGAGTCATGATGGTGTACTTTATTTATCTATTTTTATTGGTTTATATTTATTAAATGTTGTAATTATTTTAGGCAAGGCCCACAGACAACAAGAAAAGGCAGAAAGCGACAAAGGGGGAAACCAAAACGAAAGAAACACATAGGAAAAAAGCCGTAAGTTCATAATTTCTTATTAGAAAAAAATAGTGATGTTAAACAAAAATGATTTTCTTAATCAGAATTTTCTTCTTGAATTCCAGTAAAAACATCTGAATGTTCTTAAAACAAGATAAATGTACTTGAGAAGCTAAATTGTGTAAAATATTAGGACGTCTTCAGAAAATATATATCCTAAATTAAGTTCATTTACCTCAGTGACAAAATGTAATGAGGTTTATGCTTAAAACAAGGGGGAAAAATGAAATTGATGTTGTACTCAATTTTGCTCAAATGAATCTTATTTTAAGGCTGTTTGCATATTTTTACTGGAAAAAAGAAAAAATACAGATTAATATATATATATATATATATATATATATATATATACAGTATATAAATATATATATATATATATATATATATATATATATATATATATATATATATATATACCATGTGTGTTTTTTGTATATT